TGCTGAGGTGCAGCAAGCCCCAGCTGTGGAGGAAGCGAGTTGGGGGCATCATTTGGTTCTGTCCTTTCCGGTCGTGGAGGCGCCGTGTGCAGGTGGCCTACGAACCACCGCGTTGGGGGGGTGTCTCGGCACCGCTCCAGCTTTGCTGCCAGAGCCTCAGCCTGCTCCAGATGGGCCCACACAGCCCCCTCCGGCAGGTCCCTGTACCCGGAGCGAGCAGCGAGTGATGCTGCGGTTGCTGTGCCAATGCTCTCCAAGGAGGCGGCAGCACCAGCAGCGTGAAGGGCAGGCTGGCGCTGGTGGGGAGACGACCTTTGCTACGCCAGCCTGAGCAGGGGTAAGCAGGGAGATCAAGGAGACGTGCGCTGGCCTGGACTGGCCCCATCTCCCTACCTTGCAGGTATCTGGGCCCGCGTGATAAACTGCACGTGGGCCAAGGGGAAAAGCTGGCCCTCCTTGTGCAGCTCCTTCAAGCCGGTGCCCTGCATGCCGTTCATCTGCAGCCTGCATCTTTCTCCACGCCCTCTCTCCCCAAATCCTAGTTCTTCCTGGAGCTCATCTCTCTTTGCCTCCTGCTTTGTGAGCCCTTCAGGATCACACTTGCCAGCTCTCTGCCACTACAGAGGGTCAGGGGAAAAAATCCTCCCCCCCCCGGTCAGATTGGTACCGACTGCTTTCCTCTGTAGCGCGGGCACGGCCTCTGCCTGGGCTCTCTCGAGCGTGTGTTAACAACCTGCTACAGCAGCAGGGTGTTGGCGGCTGTGGTCCCCCTTCCTGCTTTCTTGGTGGCTCGGTGGGGTGCGATGCCCGGTGCTGTCAGGGGTGACGGTCATTTTATGGAGCGGTTAAAGGCTGGGTCGAATAGGATGGTTTGGATAGGGCTGATCCTGCCCGGGGCGGGGGTTGGATCAGGTGACCGAGCCATCATCTGCGCGTGTTGTCGAAAAGGCTAGGGAGGAGGAAGATGGGAACTGGGAACAAGACGGAGAGTACCATCCTGCCCCTTTATAAAGCCATGGGGCATACACGCCTCGACGGCTGTGCCCAGTCCTGGTCCCTGCCCCTCCAAAGGGACAGAGCAGCACGGGACACGGTCCAAAGATGGGCAGCAAGGATGCTGGGCGGTATGGGGGGGCTTCCCTAGGAGGCCAGGCCTGGAGGGGGCCGTGATGGGGGTTTACAAAGCACCAAACGGCGAGGAGGAAGGCAGCAGGGCTTTGTTCGTGACTCGCACAAGACCAGAGCGTGGGGTCAGCGTGGAAGGAGTCGGGGGTCAGGTGAAAGCGGTGCAAGGCGGCTCTGGTGCCTCCAGCGCGTCGCTGAAGCGGGGCGCGCGGTGGGGCTGAAGCTCGCCAAGGGACCAGACAGCGCTTGGAGCAAAGGGGCATCAGCCCTTGCTATGCTGGCAAGGGCGGGCATGCTGCCAGGGGGAGAGGACCAGGGGACCCGGTCACCCTCCCTCCAGCCTCCGCCGCGTGACCCTGGGCACCAGGGACCTGCCC